CACGCGACTTTGAAGCTTTGAACGAGTCAGCCAATCGGACCGCACACATCCGGCTACTGATTGGAATCCAATCAACCAGAGCAGCTTCAGCCCGGGGACTCAGGGCAATACCAACACCGGCTTGGCCGGTGCTCGAAGCCGCATCGTAACCGGATAGGGGCAATGAGAACATGCTGCTACTGTCACCTGAAGAGGATCGCAGAGTGAGCACAGAGCTCGAGTTTTGCATGCGGGTCTCCGGTAAGCAACAGATATCGATCGAGAGAGCCTCTAAAGTTCGGGCAAGTGCTACCTGTTGACCGAACTGAAGCAATCAGCGTACATTGAGGCTCGCTTATCTAAATGAGGACTGAGGGCTCCAAATGGAAGCCGACGTACTGGGCTTGAGCGTTTGCTTGGACATGGGCACGTCGACACGGCAGGAGTGACGCTCCCCGTTCACATGTGATTTGAAACTAGGAGCCAAGTGAATATTGAAGCCAGGTGCGGGAGGACCAAGAATTGGGCAGTTCAATACAGGGGGATAATAATGAAGCTGGAACGGGACGGTAAGGTTGAAAAAGCTAAGAAGGGGAATAAGAAGATGAGAAGGCTTGAGCAGTAGCATCCAAAACCCTATCCACCCTGCTTCAAGCAGCAGATAGGGCACCGTTGATTATCCTCTGCGGTGGCGACATTTCGACAAAAAACGGAAAAGAAAGTATGTATGTATGTATGTAGTCTCAACAGCCTAGCATCTAGACATAGAGCCAACAAAGCCATGGACATTAGCAGATAAGGGGAAATCACTGCGTCATAATCATAGTGGCATGGTAGTTCAAAATGAGCAACACACCTCAGCTAATATGCCGCAGGAAGAATGGAACATTTTGACAAAAAGTAGAACGAAACATTTTTAGTTTGTTTTTCACACGCCGAGTTTTCGCTTTTTGTCATTTGCAATGTTTGTAGCATTAAACATGTGTATCAATACAATCATGTACACAATTCTTCCGCTGATTCCGGTTGCGGGCCATGTCTTCAAGAGTGCTAAGCCATTGGCACTCCTCATCTTTGGGTCCCCATCCTGGAAGACGTACGGATCCAACAGCGGCTAGACACGACGTCAGCGATTTCATGTGCTGCCGCCAAGTGTAAGACTGACCACCATGCGTTCGCTTCCAGCCAGGTCCTTGACGAGCGAATAGAGCGCGACGCGGCAGACGCTCAGGTGTCAAGCGTAGGACGTGACCGAGTCATCTTAACTGACTCAACGAAACCAGTTGGTTGAAGGGAATACTCGCATTCCCCGAGATGCGACGTCAAACGTCATTACTATTAACTCGATTTTGCCACCAAACACGAGCGATCCTCCTTAAGCAACCGTTATCGAAGGCAGAAAGACGACGCATGTCTTCTACGCGAATCGGCCAGGACTCCCACCCATATAACAATCTTGAGCGAACTGATGCGCTTTAAACGCGGCCCTTTAGTGTGAATGAGACGTCGCGACGACGCCACAAGTGCGTCAGATTAACAAATGCTGATCGAGCTTTAGCGATACGAAGAGAAACTTCCTTGTTGGTAGTGCCGTCAGCAAGGTAGACGAAACTATCTACCTGTTCAAGTTGTGCACCTTCGAGAGTGAGCACGAGAGCAGGTGAAAGCAAATCCTTGAGCAGTACTTTACACTTCCATGGGACGAAGCTCATGCTATACTTAGCTGCTTCAACCGCCAAACGATCCAGAATGAGTTGCACACCTTGAGGACCGTCACCAAGTAAGGCGATATCATCAGCATAATCTAAGTCGGTCGCGCGCTCACCCGGTAGAAGCTCTAGGCCAAAATGTTGGAAACCTTCTAGAGCATTCGACAGAACGTCTTCGATTGCGAAGTTGAAATGGTGACATAGCGCAGCCCTGTCGCACACCGCTATTGACAGCGAATTGCGAGGAAAGCTTGCCATAGACCCTCACTCTGCCGGATGTATGAAGGTAAAGTGCTCGTAAGATGGCAGTATATTTCTCTGGCACCCCCTTCTTTAGCAAGCAACACCATAAAGCAGGTCGATCAACGGAGTCAAAAGCGGCACGTATGTCTAGGAATGCAACGATAGTGGGCCTGTGATAAATGTGGCGATGTTCGAGGAGCTGGCGGAGCGGGAAGATTTGATCCACGCATCCGCGGCCAGGACGGAAACCAGCTTGTTGTTCCTGGTAGTATGATTCACGTACTGGGGATAGTCTGCGAAGCAGAATGGATGCCAATAGCTTAGAGGCAACCGAAATGAGACCAGTCCCGCGATGATTTGTACATGAAGTGCAAGCGCCTTTCTTGAAAATCGGGACAATAACTGATTCGCCTCAAGAGGAAGGCACTTTCTCTTCATGCCAAATTTTTGCGAACAGCCTGGTCAGCTGGTTAATGATCGCCACACCGCCGTAATTGAATAGCTCCGGAGGAAGTCTGTCTAAGCCGGCAGCCTTGAAGCGCTCCAAGCGTCGAATCTCGAAGCAGACTTCCGCTTCGCTGGGTGGATTCAGTGGGACGAGCCAGGGTGAACAACAAGGTGTACTGCATGTACTGATGGATGCTGGAGGCCAGTTGAACTGCGAGTGAAAGTGCTCGGCCCAGCGGTCCATGCGCCTCTGTTGGTTGGTGATCGGAGACTCATCCACCTCACAAATGACCTCACTGACACCAGGCTTCCTGAGGCCAGTGGACCGAATGAGTTGGAAAAGCCTGCGAGTGTTGCCAGAGAGCGCAGCGGTCTCCAGCTCTAAAGCACGCTCAGACCACCATGTCTCGCGATCCTTGCGTAGGCTTTGCTTGAGCAGCCGGTTGACAGAACGGCGCCGCTCGTTGCAATCTGATTCCGCGGGGATATCTTTGCGGCATTCGATCAGCTCCAGAGAACGAGCAGAGATCCAAGCCTTCAAGGGGCGTCGAGTTAGGCCGCAGCATGACTGTCCGGAAATCATCATTGCCTTCCGTATACAAGTCCAGTTTTGCTCTAGGTCTTGTGGTGGATTGCAACTGATTGCATATGCTAGTGAAGACTGATAGCTGGTCTGGACGGAGGAATCAGTTAATCTGTTTACATCAATCTTGCGGTGCTTCGTGTTTCGGGATCCTCCAAAACACATACAGATTTTCGCGCAGACCAGAGCATGATCCAGGTCAAGGAAGGTGGTCCAAAAGACCTGCAGTCCAGTACGCTGCCGCGCCATCTGAAGCTAATTGCTATGTGATCAATTTGAGACCGCGGTTGTGTTGAAGAAGGGGGACGCCACGTTGCGGAACGCTTCTTCGTACGCCTGAAGCTAGTGCTCGAAAGAAACAGACGGTTGTCTTCGTACAATGTGAGAAATCTCTCTCCGTTATCAGAGCGGTTCTCATCGAGCGCGTGATGACCACCAAGGTGGCGTTCGTATAGTAAAAGACAGCCAATCCGTGCATTAAAATCCCCAGCAACGATGACGACATCCGACTTGTTAGCATTAGTCAAGAGCTGTTGTAGATCTCGGTAGAATTCGTCCTTGACTGAGTCGCCACTGCAATCAGTTGGAGCGTACACGGTGATCACAAACAAGTTATGTCTCTCTTCGCGGTGCCTGTTGATTCTACATGAACACCGAAGCCGAACGGCACATAGCCGGCTGTTAATCGGGAACCAGTCCAGTAGTGCCGCCTCGGACTTAACACTTAGTGCTATACCTACGCCAGCCAAACCCGCTGAGGCTGCTTCTGGATCTCCAGAAAGACACAGGTGATATCTGGCTTTGTTGCCAGTGGGTGATGTCAATGTAAGCGCAGTGCTGGGATCTTGCAATCGGGTTTCTGAAAGGCAGCAGACATCAATGTCTAGGGAATCTAGGGTGCGCGCTAGACCGGCTTGCTGTCCATTCTGCATGAGTGTCCGAACGTTGAAGCACGCCAGACGGAACGAGGATCGGGGACGAAGGAGAGCCATAGGTTGAACTACTTGGTCTGAGACGCAACCGGAATCGTAACCAGATTTTTGACCACATGGATCGGGTAACGGAAAGCAAGGATTGTCAGCAAACAAACAATTGGCATGTGATGAAACAGCGTGAAAGTGAGTAGCAGAACTAGCAGCTGATGAGCACGTTGTAATACCGTCCATGGTTTTGCGAGAGGGGGCGTGATACTACCCGGTTGCCCAAGCCGAAGTAGGGAGTTGACTTAGGGGACTCCACCCCGAGTACATATCTGTATACGGCTTTAATAGAGCGTCTGCAAAGCCATCCTCTGGTGTTATCACAGATCATTCATTCTGCTGTAGTGTATGTTCTGGTTTGTTTTCAAAAGTAACGTATGCAAGGGGGCGAAAACAAAATACCACTCTTGACTTTTGTTTCAGGAATTGTGATGGTATATGTAATTAGACAGCTGTGGTGGCTTAGTATTAAATACAGCTGGTGGTGGATTCACTATCCATGGCTCTAGCTTATCCTTCGCTACAACACCAGTGGTCCAAGTAACCATCAACGTAGGGTGAATCTGAGTGGCTTTCGCAAAATCTTGACCCATGTGTTCGAATAGGTAGCAGTGCATCGCACACCCGGAAAAACGCTTTGTGGCCGCTTCGTGAGGGGGCTACAACGTCGTCTGCATGCAGGTACTGGCAACTCACTGCGTAGTTAGCGGTACCAGATCAGATCTAGTAACGTAGCCACGACGTTTGTTGCCATTCCCGTAGCCCAGCTTTCCTTATCACGGAGTGGTAACCTGTGTCAGATGAAATGCGCACTGCTGACGATACCCGAAAGGATGAAACGGCCGTACAGTGCTTTATCGGGCGTGCGTTGGCTCTTCTCCTGAGTCTGAATACAACTGACTTCTACTTATACCATTCAAATCCTCTACTACTTTATTGTAGCTCATCTGCAGTCCAAAGAGAGAAAGTGTAGCGCATTAGATTGTGTGGTCTGATCTACTGGACATATGACCACTCTCGCCCTGTATTTACGGGACAGAGTGATGCTGAGAAGCTGGATGAGATGAAAAAAAACAGTCTTTAGATGCTTACATAAACAATCATGCTTGTCACTGTAGTTTTTCGCGGAATTCAATCACAATGTTTCTGCGGGATAACACTTGGAGATATAATCGCTTCATCATATCCTGTCCGAGAGGAAACCCGAGTTGTTGAACTACATCGAAGCACAGCAGGCCCGTGGTTGCTCGCTGGTATGGGCAACGCAGCGCTGGTTAGGCCAAACGCCCGTTTCCAGCATATTGATCTTGCCATCAGAGTGCAGTTTAAATTTATTGATCGAACCCAAGGAATCAATACATCCAGCTTTTGGGATTTCGTGTGGACGGCGATTCCAGTTACGTTTCGGGTTAACACGTTACTTTGTTCGGAGTTATCCGATGGTTCAATATTGTATGCTGGGTTAAAAAGCATCTTTCCATATATGCTCTAGGGATCTGGCATTGTTACTCCCCTGCTAATGTGGATCAGCAGCTTCCTCCTGCACAGGCGTTTGGAAGTGAAATTACGTAAATCAGTATGCAATCTTATACAAGTGGAACGCGGTGTGCCACAAGGTTCGGTATAGGTGCGCCGTCTGTTCCTAATTTTTCTTAACGATCTAGTGAGCTTAATCATTTCACACAGTTTGCTTTATGTCGACATACAAATTTGGCGGTCGTTAAAAGTTCCGAGAGATCGCATATAGTCCCAAAACGAACTCGACAAGATTCATGAATGGTCAGTCCACAATCGTCTTCAGTTCAACGGGAGTAAATGTCGAGTGCTCCATCTACGACAATAAATGGTTCACACCAGTAAACTGGACGAACATGATCTCCAACACTGTGCCTGGGACAATGATATCTGTGTACATATCAGGAAAATCTTGATTTCTCGGAGCAATCTGCGCTAGCATCGAAAGGGGCATCAACACTTGGGGCTCATAAAGCGAGCTTTTGATCCCTTGGATCCATCTATCTCCCCCAGCTGCTTTCTGCATAAACATGGCCGCACGTCATCATCATTACACACGTTAGCTAGAGGTGGGAAACACCTCAGCTACTGTGCCGCAATACATAGAAGAAAAATGAGAGAAAAAATGCAACAGGTGCAAGCCAGCGAAGATACCGATGAGGGATGGACATCGTTTCGTTAAGCTAGCAGCCTGCTACTATGCAACAAAAAATTTACCATGCAAAATTATATAAGGCTAAGTAGTGGGATCGTGGTTGAAGGGGAGACTACGAGGGATGAGGTGGGACAAAGTAACTCACATCACGAACGCCACTGAGGTCGGCTCCTAGCCATATCAGCAAGCGTATCCAGCCAAACGTGTTCATCGTCTTTCGGACCCCAACGAGGGAGACGAGACGCTCCAACTGAGGCCACCTTCGAAGTGTGGGCCTTCATTCCTCTTGACTAAGCCATCGCTTGGCCACCCGTCCTCCTTCCATAGGCCCTCTCGGCAAGCACAAAGCACACGCTTCGGGAGTCGGTGGGCTGGCATGCGTGGCACGTGGTCGAGCCATCGGAGCCTGGTGCGTAAAAATAACGGTGGTGAGCACGTGTAATGTGCTATTTAAGCATCATAACCACGACTAAAGAGTGATCTCGCGGTCTTGGAAACTTCCCAACTTTGTCTATGCCATAACTTAGGTTCACATTGTGTTCATTGCTACTTGGACCTGTTCAACATGTCACTTCGGGCAGGTAGGCTGCCACAAGACTGGAAGAAGGCAGCCGTTGTACAATACACAAACGGGGCTCTAAATCTGTCCCTGTCGACTATAGGCATGTCAGCCTCACCAGTGTAGTGCTTAAATGCCTGGAAAAGCTAATCAGGAAACGAATTTGTGGGTACTTAATTGCTCGTAAGTTTATAGAGGCGGAGCGACCCGGCTTCGTCCAGAAAATGTCACGCGTCACTAATCTGCTGTTCTTTCTGGATGAGATAACCCGATGTCTCGATGATGGGATTCGTGTAGAAGACTTTAGCGAGGCTTTTGACTCCGTCAAATTTCTTACTGGGATACATTCCCAATTGTTGAAATGCTTACCAGAATTCCTTTGCAGGAGAATCTGCTGTTAAGATTGCTGACTCCGGCTCAAGCACAGACACCGCTCATAGTGGTTATCCACGGTTTTGTTTTGCGCCGTCCGTTGTGCCTTATGTATATAAATGACCTGGCTCCCCTCCTTGAAAACCCTTAGCATATCTTTGCAGACGATATAAACTTGTAAACATGGGCAATCGTGACGCGATGGCGAAAGGTATTTGCACGGTGGCGAAATGGTCTTTTTTGTGGGACTTGCCTCTTAACGCCGAAAAAATGTTATCTATTGTCCTCCAGCAGTAAGGGGTTTTAGTACAATCTACTAGTAGCACCTTGACGGGTTGGGTCGATAAAGCTCGTGCTCTGAGAATCATTGGGACAAATAACCTTAAACCCTTAGCGCAGTGTCAGTACACAGACAACAAGGTGAAGCAAGAGCTTTTCCGTCTAAGGAGGGCGTTATGCAACATTAAATCTCAGATTTTCCTTCGTACGACTTCACTTAAAATACTGTGTGCAGGCTTGGGTACCGTATCTCCAAAAGAATGTTGTTTTGTATAGAAAATGTTCAACAATTGGCGATTAGGATGATAGGGGGCCAGCTTTTGAAGTAAAAGGACGAACGGCTTAGAAGCCTAAGGTTGTTTTCCACAGAACGGCGCAGATTGAAAAGTGACCTGCTAGAAAAATTCAAAATTATGTGGGGCCTCAGTGGTATCAGGCCTTCCGACTTGCTTGCAACAGCTGCTTCAGACCAACTGCGGGGGCATGGACTCGCAAAGAGTTCCGGGCAAAACTCCGTACTAGCCTGAAGATAGACCGCGAATCCTGGTGGTCTCTTCGTGCATCAGAGATTGAAATGGCTGCTACCTTTGGTAATCATCGTAAGTTATTAAGGCTGATACGGGAAACGGGCAGCAGAAAATCTAGTGTTAGTGAAACTATGCGTGATGACAGTGGACAGCTTATCCACAATTTGTCCCAACGCTTGGAGAGTTGGGCTGAGCATTTTGAAAGCAATTCAATCGATCGGAATCGTTAGATTTCTCGCCCGATACAGATCGCCCCGCTCCCTGGGCTGTCCCTTTGGATCCACCCTCTCGCTCAGAAGTCGAACGTCAGATCGCAAAGTTGAAGTTGAACAAAGCCGCAGGACCAGGTTATCTACCTCCAACCCTTTTCAAATTCGGGGGATCTGCTCTGGTGAATGATGTACACGAGTTACTAATGAAACTGAATGAGCATGAACCTGTCCAAACCGACTGGAGCTGCTCCATCATTGTCCCAATTTTCAAGGGAGGCTCACGATCGGAATGCGGCAACCATAGTGGAATCAGTTTGATCTCCATCACCTCCAAATTGCTTGCTTCTGTCATCCTTCACAGACTGACTGGCACTTGTGAAAGCCAGATTCGTGAAGAGCAAGCCGAGTTTTGTCGGGGTCGTGGCTGCATTGACCACATTTTCACTTTGCGTCAGTTGTTGGAGCACCGTCACATGTATCGGCAGCCCACCGTTGTCGTGTTCCTTGATATCATAGGTGCATTCGATTCGGTGGATAGACGTGCACTTTGGGACTGTCTACTCCGGAAAGGTGTACCTGAGAAATATGTAAATATTATCCGAGCATTATACGCGCATATGTCGGGCAGAGTGAGGGTTTACAGTAAGCTGTCGTCGCCCTTTACTATCTCCAGCGGTGTGAGACAAGGATGTCAGCTGTCACCTTTTCTTTTCGACTTCGTTATTGATGAAGTCCTAGAAATTGTGTTCACAGGACACGACTTAGAAGGTGGGGAACTGTTCTCAGGATAACGATTTCTTGATTTGGAGTATGCAGACGACATTGCCCTCATCTGTGACAGCTCACTAACGTGCCAGGCGGCACTGGACAGATTAGCACTAGCTGTCCGTCACTTCGGGCTTTGCTTTGCACTTCGATGGTGCAAAGCATTCCTCCACGATTGGCCTGGAGCGTTTCCTACGCTGAACCTTGTTGGGGATCAGCTAGAAGTCGTTCAAAAATTTAACTACCTGGGTAGTTGTATCAGCGCCCGTGGGATTGAAGATGAGATCACGAACCGTATAGCAAGAGCTCGAGGAGCTTTTGCTCGTCTTCGCCACTTATGGCGCAGGTGCGACATCACTCTTGCCCTGAAGGGTAGAGTGTACAATGCAGCGGTGCGTTCGACCCTACTGTATAGTTGTGAAACATGGCCTTTTAGATCTGCGGACATAAAGAGGCTCGGAGCGTTCGACCACCGGTGCCTTCGTAATTTACCTCACATCTGGTGGGAACACCGCCTGAGCAACGAGCGTGTTCGACGCCTTGTTTATGGCACAGGAAAAGGAAATAAACGACTCAGTACCGTCATTTCACGCACTAGGCTCCGATGGCTCGGTCACGTGTTACCCATGCCAGCCCACCGACTCGCGCGATGTGCGTTGTTTGCGCGCCGTGGGTGTGGATGGAAGAAGAGGAGGGGTGGCCAAGCGAAGACTTGGTCGAGAGGAATGAAAGCCCTCACTTCGATGCTGGCCTCAGTTGGAGCGTCTCGTCTCCCTGGTATGGGTCCGAAAGACGATGAACACGTTTGGCTGGATACGCTTGCTGACATGGCAAGGAGCCGACCTCAGTGGCGTTCGTGCTGTGAGTTTCTTTGTCCCGCATCTTTTCTCTTAGTCTCCGCCTGCCAGCACCATCTCATTATTTAGCATTTATAATTTGGCATAGTAAAATCTTCTTTCTGTTGCACAGTAGACGGCTGGTAGCTTACCGGAACGATGCCCATCCGTTCCCCGTAGCTCAGCTGGCTTCACCTGTCGCAATTTTTCTCTCCTTTTTTCCGCTATGTATTGCGGCACAGTAGCTGAGGTGTTTCCCACCTCTAGCTAACATGTATGGTGTGTGTGCTTTTCTTGCTTTACTTTTTTGCAATAGCAAAGAAAGTAACCCAAAGTCGAAGTACTGAAGGTCCTGTTTTGCTTGCGGTTACAAGAAACGGGACTCTCGTTAGGTCGGAGCATCTTTCGCCTTGGAATCTGACCTGACCTGACCTGATCACCTAACTTGCGAACAGTGTTTGAGTACTGGGAGTCTTCATTGGATGGCGTGGTTATTTTGGCTCCCATCTACATGCATTCGGGTTTACACTGGATATGGGGTGTGTGGATGGAGCTGTTGGTGGCGCAGCGCAAGCCACTCATGGTCCCTCTGTAGACGCAGGCGTCCTCCGGTTGTCCCGTGGAGGCAGCGGGGACAGGCAAACCGGGAACCGGATACCGCGAACCAGGTAAATATACGCAATCTGGA